TTTTCTGGTCAACTTCCAGAGGGAATTGTCATCGGTAGATAGGGAAGAGAGGTAGGAATTATATGATTGGGATCTAAAGGAAGCTAGTTCTTTTCTTACCTGTTTGGTATAATAATTGTACAGTTTCCGATCATCAGGATGCCTGGTTCTTTGCCAGATGGTCCTAGATTGGCGTTTGGATTTAATGAGGTCGGTAAGGATTTGAGGCAGAGGAATCTTTTTAAGGTATTTTTTGAAGGGGATTGGTGAGGATGCAGTCCAGACTGCTTGTTGGATCAAGGTGGTAAAGAAACTCACTGCATTATCTAGGTCTTGAGGGGTTTTTAGGGATACTCTGAGGTCTATTGCATCTGTTATTGTTTGGCGGAAAAGGTTCCAGTTGACTGGGCCTCTGATGAATGAGGGAGGAGATAACCTGGGGATAGGAGATGCGGAAAGGGTTAGATTTAGCGGACTGTGATCTGAGGAAAGGTCATCGAGCAGTAGAACTGAGTAATTTAGCGGCCCGAGACCTTTGTGAATGAAGAAGTCGAGGATATCAGGATTACGGTTAGGATCGGTTGGCTGGCTCCAGTATGTAGGAGTATCAGGGGGTAGTATGTTGGAATTGTGGGAATTAAGTGCAGACAGCAACGATCGCCCGCGGGAATTCGTGGTTCTGGCTCCCTATTGCTGATGTTTGGCGTTAAGGTCTGCACCTATAAGGAAGTGGTGTCCTAGGGAATTAAGAAAGGAAATGAAGTTAGGTTCAGGTATTGCTATTTTAGGTGGAGAGTATGCTGCGACAACTGTAAGAGGAAAAGTGAAGTTTGGATAGTTATTGCTGAGGTTTGTAGGAAATTGTGAACTGGTAAAGGATACAAGTGATGGGAGAGGGACTGATGGATAATGACAGCAGTGCCAGCATGTGCAGTTCCATCAGGGTGGTCAGTTCGATATATCTTGTAGCCAGGTATGTTGAACTGTCTTTTGTTTGTTAGTCGGGTCTCAGTTATTAGGCCTATGTCTATGTTATTGTCCTGTAGAAAAAAGGTTAGTTGATGTGATTTCGAACACCTATTCGCATTCCAAAGGAGAATGGAGAGGGGTTTTATTGAGGACATTTAAAGAATTCTTGGCGAAGGGATAAGATAGGCTATGACATTTGTAAGTAAGGTAATGAGCGGTGTGATGAGGGATTTGATTTTGGAGAGGAATGATGTAAGGAGGCTGGTAAGGTTATTGGAATTGTTAGGGGGAGGAATGTAGAATATTTGTTGAGGACTGAACTTTTGGGTGTTATTATGTTCGGGTGGTGAACCATGAGGTAGTGGTTGAGTTTGCGGCAGGGCCTGAGGTTGAGTATGCTGTTCTAATTCTCCTAACATTTGAGCATAGGAGACTTCTTTGTTTGCAAATCTTGAGGTTGCCTTGGTGGTCTGGGAGTCCTGGAAGTCTCTTCGTGTCTAGGCGCTGTCTGTAATCTTGATTTTAAGATTTTATATGTCTGGCATCCTTTGTAATTTGCTGGGTGATCTTTATGGCATAATGCGCACACAGCAGGAGTTTGCCTGGACTTATTGCAATCTTCCGACTTATGTATCACGCATCGGGGTAAGCGATGGCAATAGCTTTTAGTATGGCCATATGATTGGCAATTATGACATTGTACTATTTCCCGTTTTGCATACGGTTTTTCGACAACTATGCTAGTATAGTACAGGCGTCTTAATTTATAGATGTTTTCGACTCCACTGGTGCGCTCAAGGTCTACGAAAAATAGTGGTAAGGCTATTTTGTTGTTTGCACCTTGTTGCTCTTTATTATCTCTATATACATTGACAATTTGGCGGACACTGAAACCAAGTTCTGTCAATTCTTCTTTGATTGCCTCAGGTGGAGTTGTTGGATGGAGGCCTCTTATCACCACTCTTAGTGCTTTCTCTTGAAATAATTGATAAGTATGGAATTCCGCCTTTGTATCTGTCAAGTATTTTACTATTTTTCTAGTATGATTCAGGAGAATCTGGCATCAACTTGGTGTCATTGGTTCGACTTTGACATGTGTATTTACCATTGTTAAGTAGTTTATTTAAATGCTGGCAAAATATCGGAAAATTTGTTATGTTTCTTATGAATATTGGAGGTGTTTTTGGCTCTCTGGGGGTTGATGGTATTTCCATTGTTTCTTCTACGGTATTAGATAGTAGTTGGTAAGGGTTAACAGTAAAAAAAGGTGATTCTTCAATTTCATTGTTTGTTTCGGTGGTCATAATTTCTGTTGATGTACCGGCTTGAGGGTCGTTCACTGCATCATTTGGTCTATCAGGTGTAGATGGTGGTGTTTTTCTGTTTGAACGCCTAGGCTTTTGTTTTACTGGTGAATTACGAGAGCTATTATTGCCTAAGCTTCTTGATCTTTTATTCTTGCTAGACATTATCATATGATAATATCGCATATCATGTCAACGACTATTGGGAAAAAAAAATTTTTTTTTTTTAATAATACGTAAAAATTACGCAGACTGATAGAGGGCCAAGCTATATGACCTAACTTACTTAACAGCTGGACAGGCACTGAGCCTACCTGGCCCTAAGTGGGGGGACTATAGATAAGAAATGGCCACTATATCTAATTCTATGGTTGTTTACACTATTGTTCAAACTTAATAAACAAGCGGTTACTCACCGTGTTTATGGTTCTATTCAAGAATGTACTATATAATTGTTCAATATCACTATTTTTTAACACAACTGTTTACTAATTCACTGGTAATTATGATAATTGTGAGAGACGATGTAGCAGGTGGATTGAAAGATACTAGCGCATGCCCAGAACTCCTAAATTCTAAAGATCACAACAAGTTAAAATCAATCGATAATATATAGATAGGCAAGAGATTAATCTTAAAATATGCATTTTTTTTTTTTTAATTATGCTCCATAAAGTAAGTAAACAGACCCTTAAATTGAAGAAATCCTGAAAGTTAAAATAAATCAATTCGCCAGAGACTAATCTTAAAATCAGTAGTGTTTTCAAAAACTTCATCTCCGATAACATAATAACTGACGTGGAAGAAATCAGAAAATTTCAAAATAAATCGATGTTCAAGAGAGTAACTTCAAATCAATAGTTATTTCAAAGAATACGCTTCTGATAACATCATTACTGACCCATAAATCCTAAAAACCAGAAAAGTTCAAATTAATCGAAACGCGGGAGATTAATCTTAAAAGCGATAGTAATTTCAAAACTTAGGCCTCCGATGATATAATAACAAGACCCCTTAAACCTAAAAATCCAAAATTTAAATTGATAGATAATCAATCAATGCACTAAATAGTAATCTTAAAATCGACAGTGTTTTCAAAAACTACGCCCTCCATAATCTAATAACAAACCCTCGAATGGAAGACAATTATTTAATCGACAGCTTTAAATAAAATTATTTATTAGAGAATTAGAATAAGCGAGTGTTTGAATTATTTAAGGCCTTCACAAATTTCGAATTTAAAGCTTTTGTATCTGTTATTACTCTTAATAACACAAAGGTTATGAATCTAAGCCATGTTCCTGGTGGCAGTTGGATCAGCTTTCCAAGTATTCGCTGGCCAATTGTGAACTTATGAATGGTTCCTTCAGAAATATCCGATAAAGATTCTCTGAATACACTGAAGAAATAAATGCTTCCACTAGAATTTCGAAACGAAAAAGATCATTTCACACCTTTTCTTTTCTCTCTCACAGAAACTTTGTAAGATAGTCGTTGAAATTTACCGGCCCTTTATTTCAAAAAGTCACTAGGTACATTTTTTATTAAAATAAACTTCTAACATTTTCGTGTAGAGAATATTCTATGTAAAATCTAGTTTCCATACGAGCACAATGTACTGATTTTACTGAGAAAAAAATTCATAAATCCATCGAACATATAATTTAATTTTATTAAATGTTAGCTAATGGCATGTTGTAATAAACCGACGATATGCTCTATGCTCTGGAAATAGATTCCTTTGTAACAGCATATTGGTGTAATTATTGAATGTATGTTTGTATTTAATTTGTTATTAAGTAATAAATTGACAGATAGTAATATTTCTTAATAAACAAGTTCTAAAAAAAAAAAATGCTTGAGTAATTGATTCAATAATTGAGGCATGTAGTTCGAAAACGAGTCAACTCCCTTTTATTTATTTAACAGTTTTAATATAAGATTATCCTGTAGTAAAATAATTTCTTATAAAAACCGTTGAAAAAGATGTGGTTCAATTATTTTTTAACGGAATAGTTTTATCTTGTTCATCGTAGATTTGTAGATTCATCTTATGATAGCCTGGTACCAATTTTTTTTAATTTTAAAAGTACAAATAAAAGAATTGAAAATAATATTGGTAGATTTCGGAATTCTACGCTTCAATCGGTATACTGATATATTAATTAAATAATTGTGAAAATACGTGTGTTAATAAAATATTTAACCAGGTAAGAATAATATAAATTATATTAATAAAATAAATAATTACAGTTGCAGACCAGTTTTTTACTTGATGTGTCAAATGATTAAAATTACGAAGTATATGTTTCCTTATCCGAAACAATAGCGATTTCCTCTAAAATGCTGGCAGATCTAGATAGGGATATCGTTAAGTCGCTGTGCAAATGTATAGTTGAATCTAAAATCGACTTAAAAAAAAAATAATAATCTATATCCATACCTTCATTTTTTTATAATATAACAATAGGAGCAGTATAAAACTTCAGTCTAAGTCTTGGGCAGACAAAAAAAAAGTATATTTTTATAGTATTCAAATTGAACCATAAAAAAAATATTAGATGGAATAAACTTACCAAGAAACCTTTTGTTAATCTTTTTAACATTTTAAGTATCTAATATTAAACCGTATATTCAATATTTTAATGAAGTGTTATTTTTTCTCTCACAAAATTTACTTCTTTTATTTTCTTTTAGATCGCAATGAGAGGACTTTTTAGTAACTCACTAAATCAATTAAGGAGGGCAATGAAACAACTCTGCTGGAAAACGTCAAGAGCGCCTCCGGGTTATTTAAATTGGGGAGAAAACCTCTCAAGTCAAAAGTGCACACCTAAAACCAAGAGTTGGTTTTTCAACTTAAAGTTGACCATACAGAGTAATGGTATAAGATATTCAGATGATTTAGAACATTATGAGGTAAACATGGTGTGAATTAAAAGTAAACTTTTGAAATAATAGTTAAATGTACAGATTCTGAAGTGATTTTGTTCCTTGCCATCAGGGGTGTCCAGAAGGGGGCTTCATGGAGTAAATTGCGCCGTCAAAATATTTGAGGGAGCATATTTTGACGGGTTTTTGAATTGTTTTAGAGGGGCAAATTTCGACTGAATTACTAATTTTCGGACTAAGGGACAAGAGGAAAACGTAGACCAGACCGCATCAAGTATAATTGTATATGATCAACGATTTTTCTAAATCTACCTCAGCTTCTTCTGTTCATAAGAAAAGGTAAGAAATAAAAGATCTTGGGAGGAGGAGGGGAGCAGGTAGGTTCTTGCTCTTTGACCTTGTGGGGATGGGCACCCCTGCTTGCAATGAATAGATCGAGGAACTAGAATTGCTTTAGTCATACATTCATTAATCATTATCTAAAATATTTTAATAACACTGATTGAATATCAATTGACCAAATCTCTCAAATAATTTTTAGAATATTATTAATTTTTATTTACTTTTTATTTTTGACTGATTATCTCCACTGGGTTTAGCCCCAGTGACGCGTTTGAGAGAGAAGTGCAGGGATCTCCTGGAGCCATGCTTTTCCCTCCACACATGGAGGGACAAGTCTGGTTTGGAGTTCTCTCACCAGATTGTAAATATTGTATATAGGTATGTATGTGTTCTTTTTATTCATTTATTTTTAGGTTTTTTTATTCTTATTTATTGTATATATATTATTTTATTTACTGTACATAGAGTGTGAATGTGATCTGTGAACACTATTATAAATGTCCTTGAGACAGATTGTAATATTTTTCAATAAATAAGCTTAAAAAAAAAATTAAAAAAATACTATTAGCAAGGGAAATGTTCAACATTTCATCCTCTTTGTAATGAACTATTATTCAAAATAGTATCTTAACGCGACGCCATGTTAGAGAGGCGAAAAGGAGAAAAAATAGCGTCACTAGCGTGCTTAAAAAGAGCCATATTTTTATACATTATAATTCATACATCAGTGTTATCTGTTAAAATACATTTCTATATCTATAAAAAAAAAATTTTTTTTGACTGAACACCCAAACCAGCTTCTCTTCATTTTCCACTACAGTCAACCATCAACCCACTATTAAAGAGTTTTTAGGGTTGATTTAACACATAGGATTGGTTTGTAACTAAAATAAACTAAAAATGCCATTCTTACAGCACTGTTGATACTTTTAGGTTTTACAGTGATTGACTTTCTTTTTTGTATTTTCAAATCATCCAAAACTAAGTAATATACATTTAATACTAAATACTAAATACAATTATACGATGAACTTTTACTTTCACATTTCTGATATATAAATATATACTGTATAACTAAAATAAAGTTATTTGACCATCAGGCTACATTGGTATCCTGATTATCCTGATTACATTAAATTATATGTCAAACTTCAATACTGTTATGTATTATTTATTATATAATCTCGTATTACTTACAATAATTACTCACTAATATTTAACTAACTAGTCTGTCCTTTTCTTAATCATATCTCAGCTTATTTATTTTTCTTCTATTGGCTCTACAACACACTAAATTGAGTCTTGACTTGCTTCAACATTGACCGCCATTTATCTCAATCTAGTGCTGCTACAATTCCAATTAAAAATACCAAGGAGATCTCGGGCGTCTGAAGCGACACATTCCTCCCAGCGAAGGCGTGGTCTGCCTTTGTTCCTGAAACACTTTGGTAGGAGTCTCATCCTCTCCTATTCTCACAACGTGTCCAATCCAGCGTAACCTTCCTAGTTTGATGTGCTGGATCACATCAAACTCCTTGTATGTTGCTTTCAGCTCCGCGTTTGACCATCTCTTCCATTCAACGTTCTGAAAAAATGGTCCGTCAATTATTTTAAGAACTTTTCATTCAAAAGGTAGTAGCGAAACTTCTTGACATTTAGTGAGGATTCACGTTTCAGAGCCATAAGTCAGTACTGGTCGGATTAGAGCCTTATAAAACCGTATTTCTGAGAGCTTCATTATAAGCTTCATTATTTAATTTTACTAAAGTTTATCAGTAGCCCCATTTTAGCTGGAATCTTCTTCAGTTCTGGACTATGACTAAGGCTAATGAGAATTGCCACCTCATATTCGAACGGAAAATTTTGCGATGAATAATACGGCCCTCTTAAAGAAGGAGAAGTTTGGAGGAGACGAAGAAACTGGGATTTATACACTATGTATAATGACTTAAATGTCGTCGACTTCATAAAACTTGGAAGATTAAGTTCGGCTGGTTATTTTATTCGGATGGAGGAGGTTGATATTCCCAGAAGAGTTCTTGAGAGTAGGGTTGACCGCACCAGGAGGAAAGGCAGACCCAGGCTAAGATGAATAAATGGAATGGCGGCTGACTCCAGGATACTACTAGGAACAAAGAACTGGAAGGCAGCGGCAATGCATCGAGCTGGATGGCGGGTGCTCCTAGAGAAAGCCAAGACCCAACCCCGGGCTGTAGTGCCAACGAGATAGATAGATTCTTCAGTTCTATAAATGCATCCTTAAAAGCCTCCAATGACCTTCCAGCGATATCAATGTCATCATCGTATCTTTCTATCTCGTATAGCCTTCTCAAGTCTCAGATTAAAAATCAGAAACGCATGCCCACCTCTTTGTCGTATCACCACATTTGTAGAGAATTCCTTAGAACGAAGGATAACTTTCCATCGTTTTCCTTGTGAGGCACAGTAGCTTTGAAAGAAAATTCGTTTCAGTCATAATTTATATATTTCTGATGCATTGACGGAATAATAAGCTCGTTTAAAATCAATAAATATATAATGTGAATGCAGTCTGTATTCCTTCGTTTTTTCTATAAGTACCCGGAGGGTGAATATTTGGTCGATATTTGATCGATTCCTGCGAAAGCCACCCGGTACTTTCCTATTTCTCTTTCAGAATATAGCAACCAGTGGTGCCCAGAAGAGGGTTTTATGGCGCATGTTGCGCCATCAAAATTTATGAAGGGGTCATATTTTGACGTTTATTTTTTATTTTTAAAGGGGGCACATTTCAACGGTGTTATGAATTTTTAGAATAAAACGTTTCAGTATAAGCTATAAGGAGAAAACATGGAATAGACCACAGCAAGTGGAAATATGATCTACAATTTTTCTAGTTCTTCTTTCCCTTGCTCTGTTATAAGAAAAAGCAATAAAATATCTTGGGAGAGGGAGGTAGTAGGTTCTTGCGTCGTCGACTTTCGGAGGAGGGAGGATGGGCACCCTATTAAAGTGGATTATGGAGATAATCTTTTAAGCACATGTTAGGAAGCAGATTCCACGAGAGTTGTCGCAAATCGAGGACTTACTCTTTTTGTGTATTGGGCAGATAGAACTTCCTTTTCAACTCATTCGCGAGTCTCTCCTCTGTCTAGATGTCGTGGACAAGATCTCGGAGGAACAAAACAAGCTCCTATCTATGCTTATTGGTTAACTAAAACTATAATGTCAGGTATGATAAAATATGGTAAGAACCAGCTAGTTAATCTCTCCTGTATACTTATTGTCAAATTAATAACTACTTAGAAATGACAAATTAGTTATATACTTAAAATCAAAAATGAAATCAATGGTTTAACGCTTTAATTTAATTATAAATTCCCGAAAACTTCCAATAAGATGTATTTTAAACAAATTGAGATTTAAAATTATTGATAATTCATAAGAACCGATATTTATTATTATTTTGTTCTTGCAGGAAGAAATTCTCAATGCTATTTGGGAAACGTTAGAATTTCTGCAGATTCATCCAAACCTGGAAGTAGATTTAAATACGAAGTTTTTATGGAATCCTTTACTAAAGGGTGGGGGAAGGAATATGGGATTTTTAGAAAAACCGATAATAAAAAACGTGAGGTTAATAAAGAAATTCATCAAACGAAACAAAAGAATCTTAAGCGTTTATTTAGATAAATACAGTGCTTTCGAGTGGCTCACAAAGTTTGATCCCTTATTCGTTACACAGTAAGTTATACGTATTGTTTAATTTAAATTAATCGAAGTTTTCCTAATGTAGGTTTTGCAAATATTTCAGTTATTTGCAGCACTATTTATAATCTTCATTTAGATTTGAAATATTTTTTTTGCGTTTAAACCATTTCTATAGGGATGTATCATCGATATAAGCACCAGTATATTTCGTCACTAACATATTATTGAATTTTAAATGATTAAATTTGAATAAAAATTCTGTACCCAGAATAGTTTTTACCTAGAAAAGACCAGGCATTCCTGTATTAGTCATTTACGAATTTATTTATTTATAAATGAATGTATAAATGTTATTACTCAAAGATAAATGTTTAAAAACAACATTTCATTTTAATGAATGTTTAATAATACTTACTATTTTGCCATCTTACTGACAAAATAATTACCTTTCAGATTTCATTTGTTTTATATTTAGTATTACTTTTTCAAGAAATGTTTCGGGGGATTGGAGGAGGGAGAACAGGCATCTGCCCTCCTCCACAGATACCTAACTACTGATATGTTTATGTGTCTAAGGTTATTCGCAACGTCGATAGTAACGTTAATAATGTACCAATCTGTTTTCAGCCGTTTTCTGTTGAGAAATAAAGGTGAAAGAATTATTCTTATATTGCTAAGATATCTATGGCGCTTAAAAGAAAGGGCGAACACTATACCTAAAAGTATCAGGATTGGAATGTTCAGGATTTACACTCAGCAGACAAAAGAAGTAGTAGTGAACCGAATTGACAAGATCATCGATTACATAATAGCACTGTTCGTTAAAGGACATTGGATGCACGAAATTAATATGGTAAGCTTGAGATGATTCTTTCTTATGTAAAACTAAATAATGAAACTACCTTGTAGAATAATAACTTAACTTATACAAAAAGTTAAATTTATCTGATATAAATTGTATTAATAGTATATTATAGTATTGCTTATTAAATCATTAAATGGATGATAATTATTCATAACATCAATTTACAGGATCTTATTAATTTATTGTGAAATACAAATTTTTTTCACTGGATCGTATTTTGAATAACTAATAAAAATATAATGGTATGTTTCTGCAAATATCAATCTTAAGATCCTCATAGCAGACTAAAAAGAGAAGAAATCGCTCGACCTTTCCAATTATTTCAGCACTTACTAGACAAACGCTCTAACCTCCCAATTAACTTCAAACGACTCATTTACATGACTATAATTAGGCCTATTCGAACATATAGAGTTGAGCTCTAGGGCTCCACTAAGCCATCGAATTCCTCTCTTATCCAATTCTTACAATCCAAAATACTTCGAAAAAATCCTCAATGCTTCTTACTTTGTCACAAATAAAATCATCCATAACGATCTTAATGTTTCATATATTTCGGAATTGGCCCAATCCAGATACCTATCTTTCCACAATAAACTTCAAAACCATCCTAATCCTCTTGTTTCTAACCTTGCTTTATCTTCGATCTCTGATAACCCCCTTAGGCGTCTGAAAAGAAGATGGCCTCGTGATCTCCCAATCTAGATACTTTATTAGAGAATTACGAATGAGTAGTGTTGGGAAGTCAGTCAAAAGTCATATTTATTTTATAAATGTTTAAATGAGTTCATATTGTTGGAATGTGAATTGGACATATGAATGTGAATGATTGTTGTTGTAGTAAAAAAGTCTCAAATTCTAAAATATCTTTGTAAAGTTTGTGTTGAAACAAAAGTGAGTTTATTTCAATTTCAAAGTACTCAACTTTATTTTATTTGAGCCTAGGAATAAAATATAACGGTTAGTTATATATTGACCCCTAACCAGAACAGGTAGATTCACTACAATATTTTTCAAGATATTGTATTTTTCTGTACACATTTACTAAATTTATATAGTTGTAAATTTCGTAAATAGTAAAAAAAAAGTTTTAACGAACTTTTTGTAAGTTAAATAAATAGATATACAAAACTCCATTATTTTAAGAATAAAACTAATATAATTGTTATTTCTAGGGTATTTATCCATACAGACTGTTAAATGAAACAGTGCTTAATAAATTGACCTTCAAGGGTTCCTTCGATTCAGTTATTGCAAATGCAACAAAACTATTTTGGGCTGATGAAGTAGTCATCAGTCTATGTAAAACAAAATATTCTAAAATACAAAAGGTAATTTATATATTTTAATATAAATTATATTAAAATATCAAGCAAGATATAGAGTAATTTAATTTTTAATGATATTTTATGTAAAGTTAATCACTATCATTTTTATTTTCATCGCCTATGTACTTTGAATTTGCTGTGCATACTTAGAACCGGTTAAATAGAACTGGATTCCACGGTCTTTGTTCAGTTGCACAGCAAACTTAACTGAGAAATAGTAGTAGTCAAGAGGCCCAGTCTGGCTATTGATGGGTCCTCTCAAGAACCTAAAGATGATGATTGTTTCATCCATATTTCAATTTTGAACAATATTTTTAATTTTTATTTATTCTTAAGTGTATACCTTAGGGTTTTAAGGGGAATGATAATTTAATTTAATAATAATCACAATTGGTATTTGATAGTTATTTATTGAACGTTTCGGGGAATCTCAGTTGTCCTCCTCAGCAATATTTTATTCTCCCCAAAAACTGGCTAAGTCACAATAATATAATAAGTTTGATACAATGACTGATTTCCAAGTGGAGTTTTTGGCGCAAATTTTTGGGTGTCCTATGATGTTTACTCAAAATAAATGCGTTGTACTTCTTTATCGCCGTAGAATGATTGAGCACTTCCTCCCTGAAGATCATTGCTTTATATTTATGTAGTATTGTGGTATGTTTGGTCCCACAAGTAATTGTTTTGTATTCGTTTATTTCCGCAATTTTTCGGGACCTCTCCGATTGGCCCCATTAGAAATGTTTGTACTTTTTTATCCCCTTAGAATGATTAGGAAACCTCCTCTGAGAGGTCCTAAGATCGTTATTTTGTATTCAGATTTTTTTTTCACTAGCGGATTTAAGAAACCTTTGTGTCCATCATTATTGCATTTTTACCCTTTGACTGATTAAAAAAGATGCTTGTTATCATCACAATTTTTTCCACTTAAATAGTTAAAATTTAATAACTTCCAAAGCCAGAAAAAACAAATTCTAAAAGTATTAAATATGTGAAGTATATTATTTTTAAAACTATAGTTAGTTAAATATTGAGGTGAACAGATATTCCACGCCACTTATAGCCTTTTGAAAATTCTCTTTTTTTTTTTTCCTGTTTTTAGGTGGAGAAGAATGTTTTTTTTTTTTTTTTTTAGAAAAGTAGGAAGACTTTCATTATATCCCTATTAATATTATAAAAATTATATCGGTTCACTGATTTAGTTCAATATTTATATTAATTGAAGAGTAGAATGGTTGGCAGTCTTGTGACAGCTCTTCGCTGGACCAGATGAAAGCCTGAGCTTTGGGCCGAAACGTCGGCAAAAATAATGATAAATATAATTATTTATTTTTACTATTTTATTTTTTTTTTTTTTTTTACTGAGCACTCCAACCATTCTTCTCTTCAATTATTCACTACAGTCAACAATCAATCCCCAATTTTATATATTTTTTTTATTTATTCATGATATTTACAACTGTATTAAAAAATTAAATACATTAAGTAAATCCATTTATATTAATTTTCTTTTTATAATTACCAATAATAGTAAAACTGTATACTGTTGAACAATATTCAAGTTACTTCTAGTTTGACAGTTATATACGTTGTAATTTTGATAGTTGAATACCCTTGAATAGGGATTAGAAATTCAATAACCATTTTTATCGTTGTATTTATTATTATTTCATTATTTTCTCTCTTTTGTGGATTTTAAGCTGCAGATGGAGGACAAGTCCAACCTCCTACAGATATAGATTTTTATTTCAAACATTTTAAAATGTTCTTACAATTGTGGTTTAATCCAAAAGCACCGCTTGCTGAACCTCTCTTTGTACACCAACGGGCAACTCCAAGCCATCGTTGCCTTTGGAATCGGTCTATTTGTTGATATCACAATTGGCGTTACTACTGCACTAAAAAAATGGTATAATTGTTTTATTTCTACCTTCAATTCCTGATATTTACTGAGTTTCTCACCAACAGTTGTGTTTATATTGTTGTCATTTGGAATCGCGTCATCAATAATCATGGCTTTCTTAGTTCCGAAATCTATCATGAAGATTTAAGGATTATTTGTTTACAATTAAACAGTTATATATTGAATATAGGAGATATATTTAAAACTAATTAACATTTCCCTATTTTCAGAAAAGTTGGTTTTTTTATAAATATTTCCCATATATTGAACGGGACGACGCAAGAAATATGCTCATCATGCTTTGCTGGCCCTTGTGGATTTATCAAAGATTAGAGAAATTGACGAAACGCTTTGTGATAAGACTTAGAGAAATCATGGAAAAGCAACCATTTAAATGCAAGTTCCTTTGTGAACGCATGTTGGATTTAAAAGATAGAATGAAAATATTACGTAAATATACTAGTTTGGATCAGGTGAGATAATAGTCAATATTATTATATAGTTAATAATATCATTGCAGTTCAACATTACTAGATTATGTGTTATTACTGCTTACTAAACTTAACATAACCTGATTAACCTTTTTTAATTGAATGTATGAATGTATGGATAGTCTAGTAACTGCAGCCCGAAACCTGGGATAGGGAACCGTTTCGGTGTGGGTTTATTTATTTTGAAATCGGCTAATTTTAAAGAATGGGTATGGATATTGTATGAAAAAAAAAAAGAAATGAACGGATATATTTAAAAAAAAACTAAAATAATTGCACTTAATAATTTAGATTATGAAGAAATCAATTATGTTTTATATATATGTATATATGTATATGAAGTAATGAGAACATTATATTTAATACCAGTTTTTTTTTCTTTTAGTTACATTTAGCGACAGGAATTGTATTAAAATTTGACGGTAAGCTGGAAAAGGCATTTAACCAAGCGGAAAAACATGTGGTTCGGAATGAATTTTTCAGTTTTGATCCGGAAATGCCAATGATTTTTACATACCCCCAACCAGGGTTTGTATATAAGTTGAAACATATGACCATGATACTAAATGACGTTCGGAAGGACTTTGAACCGTACAGGAAGTTATGGATTTCGGCACACAGTAAGTATTAAACTATCGACAAGCAAAAAAAAAGTAAATAATAAAAGATAGTTTATTCATAAGGTGATTGATAGAGAAAGAACTACGACTATAATGTGAATAATTGTTAATGTGATAAGAACATTGCATTGATAACAAATCTATTTTGTAAACATTCTACAGTATATGTTATTTGAGAGAAACATTTTGTTAATAAACTAATATTAATTAATGCATTAAAAACATTCTAGAAAAAATTTAAACAAATCTACAAAACAAGTTCAATATATATATATATATTCAATATTAAACCGATATCAGGGTTGGCTTTTATGCTTTCGGAGGCGCTTTTTATGAAAATGCTGTCGCTTTTGAGATTGGGCCCCCCGGGCCTTGACTTTTTTTAACTTTCCGAATTAAATCGTTATCAGGGTCGACTATTATGTTTTGGGGGGGGGACGCTTTTTATGAAAATGATATCGAATTGAGATTGGGCCAGCCGGTCCACGACTTTTTTTAGCTTTTCAGATTAAATCGATATCAGACTCGTCTCTTATGTTTTGGGGAACGCTTTTTAAGAAAATTATATCGAATTTGAGATTGGGCCCCCTAGTCCACGACTTTTTTTAACTTTTCAGTTAAAATCGATATCTGGGTTGACTCTTATGTTTTGGAGGGCGCTTTTTAAGAAAATGATATCGAATTTGAGAATGGGCCAGCCGGTCCACGACTTTTTTTAGCTTTTCTGATTAAATCGGTATTAGGGTCGACTCTTATGTTTTGGGAGGCGCTTTTTATGAAAATGATATCGAATTTAAGATTGGGCTCCCCGGCGCTCTACTTTTTTTTAACTTTTCGGATTAAACCGATATTAAGATCGACTATTATGTTTTCGGGGGTGCTTTTTATGAAAATGCTGTCGATGTTGAGTTTGGGCTCCCCGAACATCGACATTTTGTAACTTTTCGGATTAAATCGATATCGAGGATGACTATTATGTTTTTGGGGGCGCTTTTTAGAAAATGATGTCGGATTTGAGATTGAGCCTTTTAGGGCTCCCCCAAAAACGTAATACTCGACCCTGATGTCATTTAATCCAAAAAGTTACAAAAAGTCGAGACCTGGAGAGCCCTATGTCATATTCGATATCATTTTCTTAAAAAGCGCCCTCCAAAACATTAGAGTCGACCCGGATATGGATTCAATCCGAAAAGTTAAAAAAAGTAGAGCCCCGGGGAGCCCAATCTTAAATTCGATATCATTTTCATTAAAAGCGCCTCCCAAAACATAAGAGTCGACCCTAATACCGATTTAATTCGAAAAGTTAAAAAAAGTCAAGGCCCGGGGGGCCCAATCTCAAAAGCGACAGCATTTTCATAAAAAGCGTCCCCCCCCAAAAAAACATAATAGTCGACCCTGATATCGATTTAATCTGTAAAGTTAAAAAAAGCTGAGGCCCGGGGACCCAATCTCAAATTCGATATCATTTACATAAAAAGCGCCCACCAAAACATATAAGTCGATCCTAATATCGATTTAATCTGTAAAGTTAAAATAAGTCGAGGCCTGGAGAGCCCAATGTCATGATCGACAGCATTTTCATTAAAAAACGCCTCCTACAACATAAGAGTCGACCCTGATATCGATTTAATCTGAAAAGTTAAAAAAAGTCGAGGCTACTATTGCTATATAAGGAACCTCGTCCCAGAATAAAGTTTACTTTCTATCTATCTATCTATATTATTTTTCTACTACGCTCAAATGCGTGAACTGTATCCGGTTAATTCAACTGAGATAATTATGTTGAGGCGAATAAAATGGGCATGTGAAATCGCTGGGCTTAGTAACGAAAGAATTCCTAAAATGTTAATATGCGCTGTACCGACTGACAAGCGTCCGAGGGGTAGACCACAGCGAGGTGGGAAGATTGCGTTAAGGCTGATCTGGTGGGTTTAGATTTAGTTGAGCCCGGTAGAAGGAAGAATATGAACATCGATTAGTGGTTTCGGCATCGAACCTTCGGGATCGCTAAGCCTTATTATTATTATTACTATCGAAACGATTAGCATACTCCTAATTATTTAAAAATATCTGAAAAGATCCTTTTGAAACTAATCCTATACATTATAGAATCCCAAAATCCCCCTTCTTATCCATTTGGTTTTCACTCACAACATTCTACTGTCCAGTAAAGATTCCTAGTTGTTGGTCATATTTCATCAGCTCCCTTCTAGAGAACAAGGAATACTGTTCGGGTGGATTTTTGCTCATAGCACAGGCTTTTGACTGTAAAATCCATTTACCCCAATCCTTATACCTCATTTTTCGTCCCTAGCTCTTTGACCGCTTCTTTCGCTGCGGAACAAAGTTTTCCAATATCTATAGAGTTAAAGCCGGTGTTCCCCAAGGCAGCGTCTTGGGTCCCATACTTTACTAGTATATCCTCTTTACCACTGACATCCCGATACCTTCCTTGCTACATTCGCTGATGATACCGAAGTCCTACTATCCAACTCTGATTCTGAAATAGTATCCTTAAATCTGCAAAGGCACCTCTCTCTAATTGAACCTGGTATTATAAATGGCTTATTACAGTAAATGAATTCAAGTAAAAACCTATTACCTTTACGCTCCGGCCCAATTGCTGTCCACCACGTTAATTCCATCCAACTTAATTTCTCAGACAATTTCTGTATCTAGCCTTTCTTTTAGAATGAAGACTAACATGTAACCTATATAGTAGACTTAAAAGACAAGAACTCAACGGACGATATGGCCACCTATATAGACAACTGAATAGATATAATAAATATGTAGAGTGCTGTATCTCAACTTTCAATTGAGAACAAATTGCTGATCTACAAGACATTCCTAAAGGCTTAACTCCTATTTGACATACGGTCTGGAGCTGTGCGGGAAAGCAAAATTTTCTAACATCAAACGTATCCAATCGTTTCAGTTCAAAGTCCATCGAACAATAGTTAATGTTCCGTTCTATTTAGCCAACAAAACCTTACACCATGACTTTAATATTCCATTTGTACTATATCTTATCCCTGCAAAAGTCTCTAAATTTCTTCAGAACATTACAAATCATCCAAATACCCTATCTAGCTCCAATCATTCCTACAATCTTCCTGGAAGGTTGAAGCGGAAATGGCCCAGAAACCTTTAGTAAATAAGTATATAATTTAATAAGAGTAGTTATTATAGTCGCATATTATAGTTTTACTATAGTAAAAGATTACAGTTACATAATAACCACAATTTACACTTATAGTTGCAATAAAAGTATAATTATACTGCAGATCGCAACAATATTTACTTATATCTTAATTGTTTCAGCGTGGCGGTATATGTTCAACAATTGGAAAATGAAGTACGGAGCACGAAATATCAACCTGAATTATGTGCTAGGGACCTTCGAAAAACTTCAATCTAAAATAGAACAGTGCCTCGATTTGTTTGAAACATTTCCCGGTTAGTTAACTTCTCTCATTAATCATTAATCTATCTTTTGAAAACCGGAAATATTTAAGATAGGATTATTGAATAATTTTTTTTTTTTTTTAGTAGATAATATTTGTTTCATTAGAGACTGGAGGTATTTGTTAATTTATTAAAACTTAACGATTTATAATTAATAGTATTAGTGGTTTATTACCCATTCATAAGTCGTTGAGTTTCCGAATAATTTTCTTATTTATTGTTCTAAAAAAACAAAAAAAAAAAAAAAAACGCTTAGCTTCAGTTAGTTGTATTTTTATTTAATGTAACTATTATGTGAAATTTATTATATGTTTATCAGATGATCCTCTTTTTTTTTATTTGGCCAGCTTCTTATTAGCTAAACTGTCTTAGCTAAACTATAAGTATTGTCTACTGATGTCATTGCTTGTATATAAATGTTTGGATTTTTTTTTACTAGTTTAATGACTCCTAAAAAACTGCTGTTGTTTTTCCTCTTTATGAAAGATTGGGACAAACTTTTTCCTATCCAAAGACACGTTGGAAATTTGCATTGATTTCTGGCTTGGTGGTATTCGTCTAGTTTACCGGTTGTTTTATCTTGAAGATAAGCTTTCCACGCTTTCTTCTTTGATTGAACTAAACATCGTACTTCCTCATTCCACCACTCTGTGCGCTTTTGTTTATTAGATATTTTGCGCAAGCCGCAAACTTCTCTTACAGTTTCCAAGATGCATGATTTTAAGCAGCTCCACTGTTGTTCTACATCACCCTCTCTGCTCATGGTTCTTAATCTTCCTTCCAGTTTTTCGGTATAGGAGGTTCTTTTTTCTGGATCATCTAGAGCTCTTATGTTGACTGCCTGGTAGCTCTTTTGTTTAATTGGCCGTTTATGTGGAATTTTGGTATCGGCTATTAGTAGCA